ATCCCAAAATAAAAAGCAGATTAATCAACCACACTTTTAGTGTACTCAAAGCTGAAATGTTCAGTCGGTTACTGCAGAAGAAAATCAGCCTTGATATTGCACACTGGCTCACGCCCCTCCCTGCTCCTCCCTTCAACACTCACTGTCCCTGACTCTTTCTCTCTTAAAAAAAAAAAGAAAGAAAGAAAGAGTATGCAAGCGCGCACACTGACTGACAGACAGACAGACACCACACCACACACACAATTCATTAAAGGCAACTAAAGAAAGCAAACAGAGTAAGGTATAATTGTAAACAGATTACATTTTGGTTACCCAATGTAAATCACTAACATTTAAGATTTTCTTGATTCACTTACCAAGAAAGCAGGCATGAAGTAGCAGTATTGTGTGTATAAGAAGCTTCAGACTTGTACAGACACGAACCTTCACACTGTCATGTCCATCCGATTGCAACACATTTTTAAGAGCTTGTGTGCGCAGGTTCAACAGTGTATTCAGCAACTCCAACGAGTTAATACCTTCCAACAAAACCAGTGTACTCAAACAGCTTGATGCATCCTGTAAGAAGAAAATGTCTTGCATTATTCTCAGTCATAGATGACAGAAAGTTTATTTTTAACAACATTCTCAGCTATTTTTAACCCTTTGAAACCAAAGCTCATCTACACAACATCTATAATTGCAGTTCTTACATCAAATAAAACAATGCATCTCAAATATAAAGATTAGTTGATCAATGCTACTTACAGACAAAATCAGTGTTTACCCTGATAATAATATGAATGAAACCCATCAAAACACTCTGTGGCCAAAATGCAGAGTTAATAACTGTTAAGGAAGGTGAAACATATTGTTATCACTGGATTTTAAAAGAGTTAATTTTATATTTGTATTACAGACTTACTGCTACCTTCAGTTCATTTCATTATGACTATCTGGTTTACAATATAAAGTAAGAAGATCGTATCAGTTGAACAAAAAGACATTAAGCTCCTGTTTTCATGCATGGGCAATATACTTTGCGGTGGTCACACTGTGGTCCATGAGGTGGAATAAGAAATACAAGTAAAGGAAAGTCCTGATCTTTTCCCTTGGGGGGGGGGGGGGGGGGAAATTAAATTCTGGGAAAGAATAAACTGAGATGTAAAACTGGGAATGTTGAGAATTACATGGATTTTCACATTAGCAACTTTGTGAGACTTTGTATATTACCCTTTGCTCTTTACGCATAACTTTGCCAGTCCAGTTAATCAATTGCTGCATTCATTTCCTGTCCAATGGATGAACATAAAGGCAGGAGTTTGTGTTACTGTTTCATTCTGAGGCCACTACTGAAACATAGATGGCATATGCCATGAAAATTACTTTTACTCAAATTCATGATCAATACAATGTCTTTTTTTACATCCTTCTATTCTTAAAGTAGTATTACTTTTTATTGCTGTAAAACAAATACATATTTCTTCCTAGTTCTTCCCCAATTTATTCCCACAATTAAAAATTTCTGGTAATTTTACATCTCTAGGTGAAATAAAGTGTCTACTCTGGAGTGATGGCATTTATGCTTGATGAAGGATTGTTACAGGATACAATTTGTATTATATTTCTTAGCAGTGCATCATTAATGGTTGTTGCCTAGTCACCTTTACTATCACATTTGTTGCATCCTTATGAACTTAGTAGTAATGTATATGTTGTTTAAAATAACTTTTATGTAAGTTCAACACTCAACCCTGAAGATGGAGGTGACATGTTCATACAGAACATTGGTAACCACATACAAGACTACATGGTGTCAAAACCCAGACAACCATAATGAACACCTTATACTGGGGCATAATTTTGCTATGTAATAATTTTACTTCTCATAAATTTATTCTGAGGTAGAAAGAAATTATTCAGAATGTTAGGATGTGAGCTTGTGTAAAACAAGTAACCGTTTATTTTAAGAGAGTGGCTGAATAAAACAAGACTAGCTTCAAACTGGCAATAAAAATCACAGTTTAATCTGCAGAGTATGTCAATGACTCAACAGTCAACTGCCTTTACTGGAAGAACAAATTGGATTTGTCAATAAAATTAAGTGTAAGAGATTCTAACCTCTGGAGATAAGTTGTGAGACTGCAGCATATTCTGACAGCCAGAAAGAATAGCTTCTCGGAAGTGGCTGATGGCATTCCACTGTCTTGAGATTACAGGAAACCATAGCATTACCTTGCTGGAGTTCAGGACCTCACCATCTCCATGTGCATGTAGTTGGAGACCTGTATCATGAAACAATATGAAATGAAATAAGCAGCCTAGATCAGAGCTGAAGTACTTATGGCAGTGAAGATATTGGTGTTAGTCTTCTGGGTTGTAACGCAATGTGAACTTATAGGTAGATACCAAGGGTACTTCAGCCATAAAATGGAAACAGCATGTTTCTCCAAAATGTTGGTATCCACTAACAAGGATACATGGTATTATAACCCACCAACATTGACATGCAACCTGATCTTTCATAATTAGCCTGTAAGATATACTAAGTTATGAAGGAACAATAATCACTTCCAGGTATATCAGTAAACCTTGAAAGTCATTCCAACAACAGTCTGTAGTGTGTCGTGAACCACTATTCTAGCTGAAGAAATGTTACTAACCTGTATTAATATGGCGTGCAAATAAAAACAGCTGAGCACCCAATATATAGTCTTCCTTTCCCACGGCACTCCAAATTTGTTCTGGAATATCTATTAATATTTTTATTTGGATGGCAACAGATTGATAAACTTTATTCATTGACGACCTGAAAATTTAAAATTTATCACCAACAACTGTCATCTGCTGTTTCTACACAGAGACCTCATAAAACAAATATCAACTGTTTATTAACAAATTATGAGTTACAACCTATGAATTAGCTAGCAGTATACAGCATATGAATAAATATTGACAGTTAATGAGGAACAAAATACCCTCCAGCGCCTAAGATCTGTGCCAGTTCTCTGCCCCCACAATTTTCAATCCAGAAAGACAAACCCCAATTTAGTCCAAAATTAAATGGAGGTGACGTGGAACATTCAAACACCAAGAGTGTGACTCAGACTGGTCCCTGTACAACCCAAGAAAACAACAGAAGACCAGGGCACACTCTGACTGAAAAATAAGGAAGCTAGGGTTCAGGTTGACAGAAAGTAAAGCAAGTAAGATACAGAGTGACAAGGAAGGAAACATCACACTATTGACAAGAATATACTAACACTGATAAAAAAATAACATCACCCACAATGTCAAATATAGCAAAATACATATCAGCAATGCAAAAAGACTGTAACCACAGAACATGAAGCTAAAAAATGTTTAATCATAAACTTAAAAATGATTAATAGCATAATACTACAAATTAGAATCTGCCACGCACGTCATAATATTAGTCTTCCATGTGAGGCTTTAGTATATATAGTTATAGCCCTGCATGTAACCAATATTATATACTTCAGCCCTCAAGATGAAAGCAATATTTCATCTAAAACACTGGTATAGACATGGGCATATTACTTGGCTCTTACAAGTGGCAAGTGATGGCCATGGTCTCGGCTATGCCATGCTAAAATCGTTTATCTCAAGTTTCAATTCTTGATAGCAGTTAAAGTAGCACAGTCATATCCAAAATGTGACTTATGTAAACATTCAATATATGTTCTAAGATTTCATTATACTGACTAAGAATATTATATTTTTGTTCAAGTGGTCCACATCTTGAAGTGTTGAACTTTTTGTGACTAGCAGAATCACTATCAACTACTTAGAACACTATAAGTTTTTTGCTCACATCTACATCCACCCACAAGTCCACATGACATCACTACCCAGAAGACCAACATCAACAGGTAACTTAATGATATAAAAGAGTGGAGGTAGTTGTGGACAACTGTACTGTCTCAAAATGAATGAGTACTACATGAGTGTAATAAGTTTCCCAGTAAAATGGCTGGCACATTCTGATTTCTAAGAAATCAACTGAGGTTACATTGACTTACCTATACTGTACCATTTATAAAACTGAGAAGCAATGTAGAATAATTTTAGAGTTTCTGTTTTCACGAGTGATGTGACAGCAAAGCATGATGAGCTTAGTGTAGGGATAACATACCGAATATAATGTGTTTTTCAATATAAGTTACTGTCAATTTGTAGGCCAAAAAAATTCAGTTGTTTTTACTCCTTCAATTGTTTTGTCATCACACCATTTTCCTAGATTAACACAATTTTTGGTGGTAAAACAAAATTTCATGAAATTTGTTTTGTCAAAATTTAATGTTAGTTTACTGTCTTTAATCCATTTTTTGAACACCTCTGCTTAGGCATGTGAACGTGAGACTAGCAGTCAAGCTAGTCGACTTTGGCTCTCTGGAGCTATTACACCACGGATTTAATTTTTAATTTAATTTAGCAAAGGCATTATTCATGCGAATTTTGAAACACTCAATTTCTGGATGTGAAATAATAATATTAGTATCATCCACAAAAGTATCCTTCTCTCCATCTTGGTGCGGAAACTTGTTTCAAACATTAGGATATTTAAATAAGAGGATATTTAAGAATGTGTTTAATTTTGAATCAACATCATGGCCATTTAAGAGTTCCAGTTTTAATTACTGGGTCTACAATTTATGCGGCAGCGGTCGTGCTTGCGTTGCGTGGCCAGCTGGCGATCTGGTGACATCGGCAGGACTGGTGCGTGTTCTTCCCGTGAGTCACAGGCGAATCAGTTTCAGTGCCGCTAGTAACAGGGAGCTGCGAGTGTTTCTCGTCACTGATACATGTTATTACATTAATCGTTCTTACCTTAAATCACAAAAGATGTTCAAAGTGACTTCCTCGTGCTTGCAGGCAACCTTCACATCTCGTTAACATGTTTCGAAATACTCGACGAAGCTCTTCTGGGGTAATTGCCGAAATCAGTTGTCGAATATTTTCTTTAAGTTCTTCTGCAGTGTGCGGATTTCATCCAATTTCTCTTCTGTCAGTACATTCTGTTTCCTGTTCTTCTTTTTATCCAAAACTGATCCCGTACTACGAAATTTTTTTACAAATCTCTCTATCATGGACCTGCTAGGAACACTTACACCAGGAAAATGTCTGCGATATTTAAGGCGGCATCTTCCGTAGGATGAATATTTGGCATATGTTTCGACTAAGAACACACGTTGCTTAATACTATACACCATATTATCAACGTCAATCCGCAACGAAAGACGCAATGAAACTGATTTGCCTGTGACTCATGGGAAGAACACGCACCAGTCCTGCCGACGTCAACAGATCGCCGGCCGACCACGTAACGTAAGCACGACCGCTGCCGCATAAATTGTAGACCTGGTATTTAGATGTGTTATAAATTCTTTAAGTGTCTTATTTATAAATCTGATTCATTTCCTGTAATTATAATAATTACAGACTGATTACATATTTTTATAACTCCAAGTTGCACATTATGATCAGATAATCAATTTATCGCTGGTTCAATATAAATACGTTTTCATAACAGTAAGAAAAGTAACTAGTCTTCACCAAGTAGGTGGTTACCAACATTTTAGAAAATATCACCTTCATGAAATCATAACCCAAAAGGCTGCAACTGATACACTCAAAAGTTACACCACCATTTCATAATTTCTTGTTAGGCTTTGACTCCAATCATCTGCAAACAACACTAATATTCTTTTTTCTGCCGTGGTACCAGTAAAATGATAATAGCAAAACAAAACAAATCAAATTCTCAAATTATGTCATTTTTCCTGATCATATTTAAGCTGACTGAAGAGCACTGGCTATTAGCATACACTTCGTCAGTCATTTGAAAACAAACCTTTCAGCCTTGGAATTACTTTCATCCAGTTTGAAACCTAACAAGTGTTTCTGCTGTAACTGTTGACACTTGGTGCTCATGTTATCAATGTGTGAAATTATGTCCTCTGCAGTTTTCTTCATGTCACCAATTGTATCTGCAGCTTCAATTAGGTCCCTGTACCGTTCACTGAAATCAGAATTAATTATCATTACTCTTAATACTTTCCTTCTAAACTCAATACATTTTAAAGGAAAATATTGTGTTGAGCATAACAAGACTAATATAAAGATATTCTAGAGAACAGCACTTCTGTAATTGAATGTTTACGATTATAAATACTGTGTAACAAATGTTACATTATTAAAGCTTTTGTGACACACTATCAATATCATGACTATCATACTAATATGGTGTAACTTTAAGGTAAAGAAATTTTAAAATGTTGTTTATATTCTGATGACGAGTTTAACGTACCCCACCATTGTTCTTAATTCTTCTCTTTTTCTTTCTATTTCTGTCTGTAACTTCTTTTGTGTTTCTAAAATTTCCGAAATAGTATGATCTTCAAATAATTTATCAGTATTAATATCTAACAAGTTTTGTACAGGCATTTTGGCTACTCTGATTATAGTAATGTGAAATCAATTATTAAACCCAGCAAAACATTTGTAATGATAATACGGTACGAAACAGTCTTCTTTTGACGAGTTAAACACTACAGTTTTAGTTCACTACATCTTTTTTGCACGTTATAACCACAAACCTACCCTACCACCCATGAATATATTATTCTGAAACGATTGCATGTGCACAGAAAATTTTAGCATTATAGCCAACGTGGCATATTAAAAACTGAACATTCACTTTTACAAAACCATAATTTTAAGAACTTCAGAATTATTTGCTAGATTAAATTACTGAAAATTATATTCATTTGTATATATCAATGGAAAATGTTTATCGCATATATTTAAATTTTATGTAACGGAATTTCGTTTACCATATTGGTATTTCAAGTAATCTCGGATCATAGACATAGATACGCATCTACTTATCCAATATGTTCGATAGTTACGGTAGGTACTAACCACAACTACCAACATAACCATATCCCGTGTGACCTTTTAAGAACTGTATGATGGTGTTTGTATTACGATATTCAGCTTAGTTTTGGTGAAAATTTATAATGCGTATTGAAACGTGTTATTTTTGTTCATCCCGTATATTTCCTGGGCACGGGATTCACTTCGTAAGGAATGACTGCAAAGTAAGTAATTAAGAAATGTGTCGGAAAACACTTGGACGTACTTTTGCACGTGTTTCTCAGTGAACATAACCTTACTCCAGGAAGCATCAAAAATATATTGCATTTTCATGTTTTACAGGTATTTAAATTTTGTCGACCCAAATGTCACAGAGCTTTCAAAAAGAAGAAGAATCCCAGGAAAGTAAAGTGGACGAAAGCTTTTCGGAAAACAGCAGGAAAAGAGCTTGCTGTTGATCCATCATTTGAGTTTGAGAAGCGTCGTCATGTTCCAGTAAAATATGACAGGGAGATGTGGGCAAAATCTGGTACGTACGCATGCGTTACGGACACTTTCTGTATCCTTAACTCATCAGGTGGAAGGTTCTTTAGATATTACTCATTAAATTTTGTACTACCTGATTGAAGTACATACTCCAAACTAAAGCCTTCCTTCCCTCTGGAAGGAACGATGCTTGACGTGCAACAATCTGTGTATACGTGTGTGTAAATTGTCACTGACCATAAATGACAGTTGTTCCTTGTCAGGTGTGGGAATAATGCATTATTATTCTGAATTGTGAAGCATATAATTGACAAACTCTTTGTTATTGCCCTCTTAATAGTGGATGCCATGAAACGTGTGGAGAAAATTCGCCAACGCCGACAAGCCCAGTATATGATGCAACGATTACGTAAAGGCAGAGAACTGGAAACACAACGTGACATCAAGGAAGTCCAAAGAGATTTAGCATTGATCCGGTCACCAGCAGCTGGTTTAAAAGAACGAAGAGCAATGGAGGAGTCCATTGTTGAAGAAATTCATGAGTCTGATGTGGAAATGAAGGAACAAGCAGAATAAAGTTGTTTACATTACTAAAATTAATTAATTTACATTCTACAGATCCTTCATAGTTCCATGCAGGGATGTGGAACATGTTATAATGTGCATTCAGTACTTAGTACAAATACAATGATTAATTCTAGTGCAAATATAAATATGAAAATTGCTGTCTACTGGGTTGTTGCGCTGTGTAGTCTAGTCGAAGTTCACCAACGTTTCAGAGGTCATTCTGCCTCCGTCATCGCCCTGATGACGGAGGCAGTATGACCCCTGAAACATTGGTAAACATCTACCATACTACATGGTGCAACAACCCAGTAGACAGCAATCTTTACACTCATGATCCACTCTCCCCTTTTCAAAAACAGTCAAAAGGGGGAGGAAGTGTTCAGTTCTATATGTCGTTGGTTCACTTGGCCCATGCCCCTGAAAAGGGCGTGCTCAAAACACAGCAATGTACAATTAGAAACAAAACCATTTACTTTCTTAAGACAAATTGTAATACATACATGTTACACAGGGTCATTGATTACCCTACTACAAACAAAGAAACTCACAAACAAAACAAAAAAACCCACGACTTGGCTCGCTCTCGGCAACACTCCAATTCGTCTCCCCGGCCTTGACCACCCCGAGGGACCAAGAATAACCCAAAAACATGGTGGTTGCCCCATCCACCAACACAACAAAATCAATACCCATCTGGACGGGCAACTACAACGTGAAAACAAATACAAATCAAGGTTGCCTCGAAGGGGGTACTCAGCCAGAGAAACATTGCCGACCAGATCTATAGCCACAGCCTGAGTGCTTGTCCGTGTCCTGGCGAGAAGAGGTCAGCCCAAAATAAACCTCCCTCCTAAACCGGCCTACCTCCCCACACGCATGCGCACCCCTTTTCTAAGTTTCGCTGTCACAACATCAGAGCCGAATGTAGTCGGCTCACTCACCACTGAAAACCTCAAATCCTACAATTATAAATACATAGTTATGACAGCTATTTACATTGTTACATTGTACCCTATGTCACCCTATGTCACTTGCATTTACTTCCTAAGACTGTCATACCTTAAGCTGACCAACTACATCAAAACATCTAAGCTACACACGTGCTAAATGTGGTATGCAGCACTAGCTTATATTTCATTTTGTGTTTTAAATTTCCTTTCATTTGGCACTGTAAACCTTTGCTACTCTTCGCTGCCCTCTACAACAAAGAATTTTTATGTAATTATAAAAATATAGTTATCTAATTACAAATTGTCCATTGACATGTGTGGAACTAGAATTTCCACATTAATAACATTCAGACTTGTAATTTGTAGGTTGAATTTATATAACTGGTTTTCTAGTGTAATTGCCTAAACACAGGATAACACAAGTATATGTTAGTCCATCACAAGGGTTCCTGTAATCAGTGAGTGAAGCTTGCATCCTGTCAGATTTACCTTTCAGGAAATCATCTGCTCTGATTTATGGATCCTGGTCATCTCAAACGGATGTAGGTTCACAAGAATTTTGCAACTAATTTTCTGATTGGTTGGGCTTTGAATTTG